GAAATCTAACAAGAGGAATTGGAAAGTGTAAAGCAAAGTTCTGGGGTCGAGAATTTATGACAAATTTGTGAGCAGCAGCCCTGCAATAATGGAATAGCTGGAGTAGAAAAATAATTTGTGAATGCAATGGTCACAAGGAGATGCATTGGCACAGAGGTACATACACTTTTTATGGTTTCCTTTATACAATGATTAATTTCGTACCAATAATTTGCTACAGCCCCAAAGAATTTAAAATTTAATATTGCCTTCATATGCAACGAACCAATTACAGTAAAGGGGAGACATAATGTACCGTTCCCTGTTTCCTGATGCCCCACATCCTTAGTAGCATCATCTTGCAAATCTCCTCTGGTTACAGCCTCATGTGCCTGTTTATTTTCTATCAGGAAAGCAGCATAAGCGAACGGGTCCACAAGTTTCCCCAAAGCGATCTCCCAGGCAATAAATTTTCTAGCAATGACAACATCAAGTTGTACATACTTTCAGAAACAATGTCAGACGCAATAGAGTGAGCTTGCTACAAGGGGTTGTCCATTTGTGCACTTACAAATTATGGCCGACACCCATTTGCCCAACATTGCGCAAACTTCAAAGTGAAAACCCCCGCAACTTGCCGCGTCTGTCTGTTTTAGTTTGTGTTTTACAAGATTAAATGTCCAGGGTTGATTTTCGTGAAAAATTTCCATCAAAATCCATTCCTAAAAAAGGAAATAAATACAACAAGTATCGAATGTTAGAAATATGTTACCTTCTTCGGAAATAAAGCTAAGGTACGCTTTTGAAGTTTACTCACCACAGATTGTATCAAACCTTGGTAGAAGGTTTTGTAATTGTCCATAGAATCAACAATGTACACTTGTTTGTCCTTGACATGTGCAATCATGAGCAACCAATGATTTGAATAAACGATTGGAAAAAAAATCTGCAATCGCATACAACAAGCAATGTTGAATGTGTTAAAAGCTAAGGCATGTTAGGCTGAATCCAATTCCACTAACATGCAGCTGCTACTCATATTGTATAAGAATGTAAAGGCGAGAATGATAGCTAATGTTTACCTTTTCAGGATTTGTCATGGAGTCGTCATTGCTCTGATCAACGAATGTTTTTTTGGTTGCGGGAGATATGCATGGATAGTCTAACACGCATTTCAGCTACAATGAAGTGATTGAGAAGCAAGTATTAGGTCCACATTTTGCAAGGCACAACAGCACATACAATAATTTTCGTTACGTACCCAAAACATAGGATTGAAGAAAACAAATTGCTTATATTCTTTCTGGAGTAAGTGAAGGTACTGGGTCACAACCTTCACAGAATGGAACAAATTCAAACATTCAACATTGAGTTATTATTTTTAGCGAGATTAGTGAACAAGGTAGGCATGTGCAATCGCATAAAAAACTTACTCTGTCACTGAGACATGTCTCCAGAAGCATCACTTGCTCCAGTTCTTCTCTTGTAATATCAAAGAGATGCTGCCTATCTAGTGTATTGACACAGCTGTGAACAATGATTGACATGAGTACAATAAACAGATGAAAGCGAGATCAGTGTTAGCCATTGACAGTACCGATATTTTAACATACATCTGCGGGACGAGTTGTCTGACATGAAAGCATACGGCTTCTTTCAATTCATCAGGTGCTACGCCGGACGCTTGTGATAGACACTGGACAATAAATGTATTAGCATATATAAAGGGGATTACAGGAGAGCGCAAGAGCATGTCTTACATCTCGTTGAAATGACAATTCCTCAAATCTGCAGTCCTTCACTTCGCTGGCACCAACCCGTTGTAAAATTTGTGTCACTTTATCCACAACCTAGTCATACAAATATTGGGTTATGCTCCTGTGTTGCCATCGAGAAGAAGAAACAAAAAGGAGTAAAATAACATTGTCACATACACTTGCCCCTTTTCTGGTTTGTTCAGATAGTAAGACAACATCTTCAAGATGTGCCTTTTCCCCCACAACCGGCCTCACCTCGACCCCAGCACACTTCCCCCCCTTATCCATCTCTTTTATTTCTTCAACTTTTCTATTCGCGTCCCCAGTCTGACCAATGACAGCATAAGAGGTATAGGATTTCTTCCACATCCAACCACCATCTTCAGCTTTGAATGTCAGTTTTTTGAAGTACGATACTCCTATTTTTTGGGCGTAAAATCCTTTGTCAACATGGTCAGCCAAGAATGGCACATTAAAGCGCCTAAAGAGCCTGGTCAGCAACATACCAAAAGGGAGATGTATTCTCTTATTCTCCCTGCTCTTAATCTTCCTAATCCTGTTGAGCATCGTTGCAATGATCAAATTGCCTATGTTGACGGGTTGTTTGTGTAACATATGCCACAATATAACTCTTTCTAATACACTAACGGAAGTGATACTTCCAGCTTTGGGTAAAATATTATGAGTTATTATCAGATGTAACAGCCGTGGCAACACTTTCATATACGGCCCATAAAACTTAGTTTTCTTCCCTATGTTCAAAACTCTGTCACCATTTTGTCTAATCTCTCCAAAAAATTCTAGGTCATTGTACTCCTTCACAGCAACCTTATCTACATTCTTTGCGCTAATCCGTTTATAGTCAACAGTGTATCCACTGTCAACCAACCCAAACTCTGAACACAAAACCTCAGTAGACAATTCCATGTGTACATTCCTAACCACTGAACGCAGAACAGACTTTTGCTTATTTGCCCTACAGTTAGCATAGAATTCCCTAACCATCGCAGCATAGCACTTGTCATTATGTGCCAGCAAATTTAACAAATTTTGGGCATTAAGATATTCCGTGATATCGATACACTCACCAGCGAGAGCTTCTACGTCGACCCACATGCCTTCATACACTGGAAGACTCATACAGGCCTCCATGTTACTGGCTATGCTTGCTTCGAGTTGCGATTCAAGTGTTGAGTACTTTGAGCAACAGAGGAAGCGAACGCGATAAATCCGATTTATTTGGACCTTGCCGCCTAAAACTGTTCGAAATGCTCCAAATTTCAAGAGGGGGGGAAGTTTAAACCGAAGCTGTTCAGTGTGTTCACACAACACCCGCTGCGTTTGATGGGCTTAACAAGAGAAACGATGAGAAGTTCAAGAAAGACAAGTTTTTTGTGGGATAATTGATCAGGCAGGGACGGGCGTGGAGGGAGTCAAACCCGATTTAGTCAAACGAAAATCAACCCGATTCGGTATTGGATAGATTATTCCGAAGCGGTTTATGCGCAATTGACAATTTACAGGCAGTAGATTACAATCTATTCATAATAACAAATGTAATTTTCTATTTATATAATTTATTAATATTATATACACAGCATGTTTTTTGGGATACTTTCAGAAACCTCCCCTGAATTACCTTATGGAAAAATCAGACATTGGATAATTTATGGACGATAGCCAAAAAGAGCTGGCGTTTTATTGAAGAACTTGTTTATTTTCATTTAATCCGATTAGGGCATTTGTTTACGAAAAAATGGGTACTCTTTTTTTATAATAAAGGAGAGCCATAAAGAGTTGGTCTTTTATTGAAAAGCGAGTTCATTTTTCCTCTTTATCCGATAAATAAATTTAGTTATGGAAAAAAGGGTACTCTGTTCTTATAATGGAGACAAGCCATAAAGAGCTGGTCAATTAAAGTAAATCAATTTTTTTCTTATTTTACTGGATAATTATAATTATTTATGGGAAAAATGGTACTCTGTTATTATAATGGAGGAAAGCCATATAGAGCTGGTCTTTTACGAGAAAGTGCTACTTTACAGATTGGGACCACGATTTGGATTATCAAATTATCCAAAGAAAATTTAGAATGCATTTTTTTTAATTAAGCCTTTATTATATATATTTATGTGTTGCATTGTATAATTATACTAATATATTATATGACTATAAAGTATATTATAAATTAATTAATATTTTTATAAATGTATATTATAAATATTTTTATAATATATATTTACATATTACTATTTATATATATTTATAAATGTATTTTATATGTGCATATAATTATAATATATATGTGCATATAGTAATAAAATGTTATATAATTATAATGATTCCTAATACTTATACGTATACTAATATATACTAAACATCATAATAAATATATACTATACTTCGTACCATATAATATATTTGCATAATTATATAATGCATTATATGAATATATATAATAATTAATTAATTATATTGACAAAATCATTCTAAATTTTCTTTTGATAATTTCATAAATCAAATCATGGTCGCATTTCTAATTAGTATCTCATTCTCTTAAAAGACAAGCTCTCTATGGCTTTCCTCCATAAGTAATTTTTTTTGCAATATCTAATCTAGCACCATTTCGTATGTAGTTAGTAAACTTCTCACTTCAGTACAGTATCCGTCACGTAGATCACTGCTGAGGAGTTCCCTCTTTACCTTCTAACTATCATCCTTTATTCTTACATTTCATACACGTTTGTCTACAACGGCGTTTTGTTGAGTTTGCATATGTATGTGGTTTTGTACTGAAGGAGCTTCGAGCGTGTATATGTACATTGCTAAATATAGAGCGTAACGAGCCCTGTAGACCACCGCCCAATCTCCTCCGACGACCCTGAAAAACATTATCGAATCGTATTTCAGTGTGCTAATGTTTTGTTAACGCACCGGATTTTTAGAAAATCGTATACTAACTTCATTAATGATTCGATCAAATACAGAACATAAAAGGGCCAAGATAAGCTATTTAGCTGGTGAAAATTAATTTGTACACGATGGTGAAAAATTTGTGCTGTCAAAGGAGTTCTCAACATTCAATCTTACACACTAACGATAAGGTAGGGCAGCACAAATTGCTCCAATTTCTTCATCGCAAGCGCAGCCTTCATATGTATTCTCCTTCACGTCATCCGCATCCATAGGCCATGAAGATGTTTTCCTCTCATGTGTCATGGCACAACAAATGGGCGTTGGGTTTGCAAACATAGGATTCTTGACCTATATCATCCTCAGCAGCGCTCGCAAATTGTCACGGCAAAGTTTCACTCTGCCTTTCAGAATTCCGGATTTTTTCATCCCGCTCAGCAGGCTCATACCTTTGCGCTTTAACTCGTCCCCACCAACAAAGATGTAAATTATTCCCAACGCATATGCAGCATCGGCATGGCCTGAATTAGCAGCTTCTTCCAAGCATTCCAATGCTGAGTCCCCATGCTTGTCCGTAAAGAAATCAACCTAAGCAGTGCCAAGGTTGATATTACAGTCTTGCTTACAAACTTAGTAACGAAAAAGTTAAAAAGTGTAGGCGGAACAGTGGCGACGGGACAACAGTTATTTACTAGGGCCCAAAGCTGCAGTAACGTGTTGTAAGCCAATCTTTTGGGGGTGAAGTGTGCTGACCAGAATCACAATGAAGTTCAAATGAAAGACATGATGCGAGCTTAGTCTAGAAATTTTGTAACTCAAGTATGCTTATGGAATGTTAGTTGACAACTATTCCATTTAAAACATTACCGAATTTTCCCATAACTATTGAGTCTTACGTTCCTAATCAAAACCCAACTTGCCAAACACGTTGACCAGGACTTATACTGTACAGGACTGGCGGTTGTTCATTACCAACTTCAATTGAAAAGGTAGAATATTCAAGGGAATGAGTTTTATCGGCCAGATGCTTACCACTCCTTTTCGATACAGTGCATCTGGATTTTTGCATTGTCTACACTTCTTCAAGAAGCTCGACACTTTGTGGTTTTTGTGCCACGGAACGAGTTCGAACTTGGCGAGTGACACCCGCTGGTAAACGATGTCTGCGTCCGAAACTTCGTTAAGCAACTTACAGCTACACAATAAGAGAAATGATCCATTAACCTAAAACGAAAAGCACAGAATGGAACGAGAATTCGCCTCTTCCTGTTTGTATCATCAATAGCAGAACGAACCACAGTTTTGCCCGGAAAAGATCAGTTGATGAAGAAGATGCGACACGTGCAAGCACCTCGGATAGCACCTCGGTCGGAAGGGAGAGGATGGAGGTTCCTGAAAGCCTTTTTTGTTCGTTGGCCATGACCGGTTAACTCCTTTTACTGGGCACAGTTGAGTGAATCCCTGAAAGCCCCAAGAATGGAGTAAACTTCAAACAACAACTACTTCCTCATAAAATCCAATAATGATTGATCAGGTATAATATCCCGAATTTCTGGACATCCGACTAACCGTAGCGATAAACGAACACAAATGGGAAAGTGGTGACTTCTCCTGCAAACGACGCAACATTCTATCGTCAAAAAAACTGTCATCCGAAACATTTTTACAAACCGACCAACGTATGTGTCAATACGTTTAATTCATCCGAACCGTAACAATACACCGATAGCAAGGGAACATGAACAGTCCTGAACTACACGTACATCGTCAATTTACGGACGTTCATCGCAGAGCAGAGGAGGTTCCACAGTGATAAACAGGGAGGGTTAGTTCGTACCTGTGGTCGTCAACCAGCTTCTAGAAGTCGGTAGCACAGATTTGGCAGACAGGTTGGGCGGGGTAAATGGCAACCAAAAGGTCGCGCCCGACGCATATACTGAAGCAAGACTGACTTCTCGTATGCTGCCACGACCGTCCTAACTGGAACCCATTAATTGGGAAGAGGCGTAAAGAGCTGGTGTTTATTCGCCAAGTAGGGTAAATGGCATAAAGAGCTCTTATGTTTCCCATAAAATGTTGATACAATGTTTCCCATATAGAGCTGGTATGTTATGCGCTATTTCGTTTTCTTTTTTTTTAACTTTCACATATTAAATTTATGTTAAATACATAAATTTAACTTTCAAAAATTGGCGCCTAGCAGTAATAATTTTTTAATCACCTTCATTAGATATTAAATTTTTGTTATTCACCAACCAGCTTATGGAATTGTCTATTAGTTTATGTGAGTAAAATTTAAAAGGTGATATACTAATATTCGTTTTGTATACGTTTCCTCTATTACGACTTTCTTGCATTTAATTGGTTCTCTCTCTCTTCCATTTAATTAGTTTAATTACTTACTTATTTTATGTTAAATAGATAACCTACTAGTTGACTTAAAATTTGTGAAACTCGGCATTTTTTCTGGCACATCTGGTGCTAACAACCGTTTTTTTTTGTACTTATAACCCCTCAACTTTAGTAATCATTCTAATAATTTATTCTTCTTTCAATCTTCTACCAATACAAGGACGAAAGGGGCATCCATGGAATAAAAATACCTTCTCACACATGAAAATAATATTGTAATCAGATTTGGACTGCGTTGTTACCAAAAACGCAATAGAGTAAGGGAGGTCAGTGAAATTCCTGTTAAATGCCAGGGGATGCCACTGAAATTTAAATCAACCTCAGGGGAGGTTTGTGAGAGTATTCATATTTATTGTATTCGTTCCGAAACATCAACTATACATGATGGGCGACTCCAAGTACTCAACCAAGCAATAACCTCATTCCACGCCCAAATAAGCAAACAAATGTGTTGACTACTGTTGGGGAAAACCTATTCCCTCCAACCCCCAAATTCTTGTTAAAGGCGCTGTCCGTCGACACCGTGGGAGCGCCGTGTCCTTGTGTTTGGCAGAGATAAAGTTAGGCTGTGTAGCGGAGGAGATTAACCTTTGCGAATGGCTTCTTCGTCTTCAGCCGGATAGGTCAACAGCACGGTCTGGCCTACATTATATTGCAATTGTGGTCGAAGCTGTGCAGTTCGTGTTGTCTGGAAGTCTGAAGCTAACAGGGGGCGCCACTACTATCGCTGCGCTAACGCCCTGGTAAGTTCTTCGGTAGAACTGTTTCTTCCATTAATTTCGGATTGCTAAGGTAGTTGTATTGCAGAGGCCCTGTCGAACGTTCATTGGCTGGTGTGATGAGTTTGCTCGAGTAACGGGGTTTGAAATTCCCGATTCGGCCCCGTCAAGTACCGCCCCCGTCACTAATACACCCGCGGCGGAGGTGTCTGCCATCATATCTGAACTGAGAAGGATGCAAACGAACGTGACGATCCTTAACATTGCTGTGGTAGCTGTGGTGGCGGTAGTCCTTGTTCTGGTTCTGAAACCATGAATTAATGTGTTGCCGTTGATTGCATTCCCTCCAAAACCCCCCATCCTCTGTACAGTGCTGGACTATGGTGTCCGTAAGGATAGAATGGCCATTAAGGCTCGACTATCTCCCTCTTGTATTTTTGGTTGCCACTGCTGTGGCATTGCCTTTTGTCCATCCGTTGTCAACCACTCCTTTTCCGCATCTGCCACTGAGTTCACCCAACCGGCGGAGTGTTACTGTTTAAATGGTGATTTTGCGTTATACATAACATATTAGGTTTCCCTATTTGGTTTTTTGTTTACATTGTGCATTATGTGATTTTTCGAAATGCCTTTTCCCTTTGTCCCCCGAAATGTGTGTGCGGATGAGGTACTAGGGATCGTTGATTGATCGATGAACGTCATTAGTCATTGGGATGGCAATCACTGCGTTGTTAAATATGAACTTCAGCTTAGCCAGGCAACTGAACAAGCTGAAGCTTATGTACAACCAATTGGGATGTGGGACAGCATTGTTAGGTTTATCACAGCCAAATTTGTGGAGTTGAACGACGAAACAAGTTCTTACTTATATATTTGGATTTAAGTACCTCCGCTTACATATCCGACAAACGGTGCCCTCCTAATTTTCAGGCCTTGCATATTATCATCCCCTAACCCCTACCCTTCATACGCTAACAATCAAAACCATGCATAGTACGCCCAACAACAGCAAGGGGCATGAACAAAAAACCACCCACCATCAAAATATGATCTTGAACAAAAAAATTAAAAGCACACCGCCGTACATACGAACCTTCACTCGAAACGCTCCACAATAAGACCAAACATAGGGTTTAACGAGACAACCGTGGTAGCTAGCCTGAGAAAGCTGCGGTATTTTTTGCGCCACACAGTGAGGAGAAGGCTGTCAATAGCATCTCTGTCTTCAAACGTGATCTCTACAGCTGATGGATTCCAACAAATGGTTGCGGTGTGAAAGTTGTCCACAATGGCAACGTTGCGTGTCATACTGGCGGGATACCCCTGTTCAGCCAGAAACCTTGTTACAGACCAGTCTTCAAAGTTGGCGCCGAAGAGGATCCAGACGTCGGTATGGAGCAGTGGTTTTAGACCGAGGAAATGGGCAACAAATTTCTCCTTGCCCACAAACCATGCATTGTAGGTCATGATGTAAAACGCCTTCAAGTTCTGCATAAGCGGGAGTGGACGGCGGCGCCACTTGACCAGCGACCGGAATACTTCCTCGTTCGCAATGGGGTTGCGAACGGGGATGCAAGACACCAGCATCGACTGCGAAAACTCTGCTTCGGGAAACCTATCTAACCGAACCAGCGCTTCCTCAACTATCCACTTCACTCCAATGTGGTGAAGTGGTAAGACCTCAAGTTGAAAGTAGCCGACCATGCCTCCGTTGTTGAGGACATGTATTTCAGGGAGTCATCCAAGTGCCATGAGTCAGTCTGCAAAAGGATTTGTTACGAGGAGGCTGGTCGGTTCAGGGGTTAGAAAATGCAGAACGAAGCGAATCTTTCGTCTACTTACGTGTTACAGGTGATAAAGAAAGATGCGAAACTTATACAAGGTGGTTGTATGAAGTTGATGCGGCATGCAATAGCGAAGGTTGTTGTGCGAAACCAATGCTAAAGTGAATGGGCATGCAAGGAAGAAGTTTAGTTGTGGGAAGCTCTTATAGGAGGAGATATGGATGACGGACCTGAGTTTAAATGGAGGAGCTTGCAGTGCATCGACTGATTCGACTGAGTGGTTAAGAGCAGTTTGACCTCTTTCAGGCATCCTTTTGCAGACCACGGTTAACCAACCAAAGCTAGGTTAGTGCGATAATAAGTCACAGTTGGCACTGCATCTAAATTTTTATTTGGGAAAATTAGAAGAACCAAATCGCATGCATATTTCTGAATTGCACTACCCCACTGTAGAAGACCAGCTGTGGACGGGTTCGGGAGGCATATGAGAACAGAGTACCCTTTTCCGTAGACAGACATGTTTTTCCGAATACAATAATAACAATTATTTTTTCCAATAAAATACCAGCCTTTTATGTGTTTCCGGCATTACAACAACAGGGTACTCATTTTCCCTTGTACAAATACATTTAGTTGTGGGTCGAATAACAATGCAACCATTTTCGAAGAAATTACCAGCTGTTTACGGCATTCCTCCATCACAACAAAAGAGTACCCATTTGTATCGTACACAACTTAATTTAAGGGATAAAATACAGATAAAAACATTTCTGAATAAAACACTACGTATTTTCAATAAATCCTCCGTTATAAGATGATGGTACTCGGTTGGTAATTCTCCAAGTTGACGAGACTGGCGCCAGAGCTTGGAGAGCAATTTTTGCTTGGTTGGCGGGGTAATTCCAAAAGGTGACGAGACTGGCGCCAGTCTCGCTTATCGGACAAGATTTACAGCCTCGTGTACGGATTGACAGATAATGTGCGGTCATACTTCATTGGTGGCCCGCCTTTCACCGTCAAGTCCAATGTGATGACTACTGCAGCGTGCCTTTGCTTTAAGGACGAAGCATGTTCCCGCCTTTAAATTTAACTAGTATATTAATCATTCTATTATTTACTCAAACTAAAATTGGTCATTTTATCTTCAAATTTAACTAGTATATTAATCATTCTATTATTTACTCAAACTAAAATTGGTCATTTTATCTTCAAATTTAACTAATATATTAATCATTCTATTATTTACTCAAACTAAAATTGGTCATTTTATCTGGGAGAGGGTTGACGTGGGTGGCAAGGGAGGAGGGAGTGTAAATAGGGGGTTTTGGATTCAATATCTCCCACTTACACAGAAGAATAAAAAAAAAATTGGCCATTTTATCTTATATCTTATGTATTCCATGAGGAACAAAATTACAATTCTCAACAATTACAACTTTAGCTTACATCTAGTTTTGCCCAACATAAAATAATCTTTTTCAAGCAAAACATATTAATTGCAAAAC